CAACGAACATAATGAGATAATGCATCCACTCCCATATTCTGGCACCCCCATCTGCACCTCAAAGTTCCTGCCCGATACCTTCTACTCGTATTCCAAGCGTTACATATAGTCTTCATAGTGCTGTGTACATATACGCACGGAAGATATCGCCCGATAATCCTTCGCCGAGTATATGAGAGATCCACTTTTGATCGAGTAATATCAGGATGCCAATGACGCAGCCGAGGAGTAAGGAGGTCCGCGGCACTCTGGATCTTCTCCGAGTGCAGAATCCTATACACATTCGCCTGAATGCCTTTCTGCCACGGGTCCGACGGGATCATGGGAATATGTTGCATCTCGCGGTGCAACTTCCTAAGGTACACAAACATGGGGTTAATAAAAAAGCGGGTCCCACTCATGAGTGGCCGAGGCCTCATCAAGCTCCACCGTCGTTTCATACTCCTCATAAAGCCGCTGAAACACACCATTCTTCTGGGAGACACGGAAGGCGGCAGCCCGACACATTAATTCAAGATCTCACATCATCATGGTAACCAAAGCTTCTCAATTGGCACAGCATCTGGCAACTAAACGCATTGTTCGGCGCCGACGCGAGCCTTTGCACGCGCCGCCGCTCCACCTTCAGAATGCGCTGGCTCGGCGGGCACAGCTGGCCGACAAACCCTAGCACTAAGAAGCAGTACGTGTTATGTCCGATGATATACTGGGGGAGATTCTGGTTCAAAGCCTCTAACCTAAGGGTTCGATTCTCCAGAGAGCGCCCAGGGGCCTCCCAAGGCAAGATGCGCCCCTCAAAGCCTACAGTAATACCCGAATATTTCCCAGACCGCGCCACCTTGGACTGATTAATCTCCATCCCCTCAGCCCTGAACCTCATCCTCACTTCCTCCAGGTCAAGCTCCCCAGGGGTGATAGTAACAATCTTCTGGGCATTCATGATCATACCAGTAGCCTCCGCGCTCCGCACTAGCAGGCGCACCGTCTGCGGGAGATCCTTGAACATTTGAGCTGACGCAAATGCCAGATCATCTGCAAAGCCCGTGAGGTCAGCTCTGGGATGTACGACTTGGCTTTTGAAAAACCTGAGGACGGGATCAGAACAAATCACGAACAGGATTTCAGAAAGAGGGCACCCTTGGCGAATACCACGTTCTAGCTTGACCAGCACGGGGTCTGACCCACGAAACTGGATGCTGGTGGCGACAGTCGTGCACAGCATGCGCACCATCTCAACATACCAGGCCGGAAGATTCATACGCTCGAGCACGACCATCATCCCTGCGTGAGACGCACTGGGAAAGGCCTGCTCGAGGTCAAATAGGCAGGCACCTGTATCCTTCAAAGCGTCCACTACCTTCCAGAGCATCATCTTAGTGTCGAGCGAGATGGTATGGTCAAGCATCTGCCTGCCTGGAACGAACCCTTTTTGGAGCCAATCGATCGTGACCTGACCACATTCTGAGAGAGGGCGAGCCGTAGCTGCAGCGATAATTTTGCTGCACGTGCCCATCAGGGTGAGAGGCCGAGTATTTCCTGGAGCTCGGGCCTCTTCGGGATGCTTCGGGTCGGGATCACCTTTTGGAAGAAACGCTCCGAGCCCTACATTGAATCCTTCAGGGGGGGGGGGGGGGGGGGGGGGGGGGGTACCTCCATGAGACAGATGATGGTATAAGTGATATAGCGTTTGCCCCGCAATGCCCCCAGCTTTTTGATAGGCAGTGTAGGGGGTCCCATCAGGTCCTGGACTGGAGTCCCGAAATTTGGCAAGCATCATTTCGAACTTGGGCCCCGGGAGGAACCGCTCGATGTTCTCGGAGGCTTTCTGGATAAACTCCCCATATTGTTCAACAACTTCAGGCCTCTGGTGTCGATGCCTAGCCACTTCGCCCCAATGTCGAGCGAGACAAGCTGCGCGCTCATCAGGATCGGCAATGGCCTCTCCGGCCTCGTCGATCACCGAAGTCAGCACCATCCTCCCACGAGAAGATGCCCACACCAGCCCGAGCTCTTTCAAACGCAGCAATTTCCTATCTCAAACCTGCTCCGAAAGATCAGGATCAGCTCGAACCCCCGACCCCTTCTCCCTATACTGTTGAGTAACCTTAAGAGCTAATGCCTCATGGAATTCATCGGGCCTGGACCATTGACACATCTGAACATCAAAATGTTCCCCCAACATCGGATACGCACGAACCGCGCGACGAACAACATTCCAGTCCTGCCGAATGCGCCCACGGACCAGAGCCAGCATCCAGGAAACCTCCTCGGCCATGGACCCAGGGCCCTCGAGTGCTTGTTGCCTCATCGTTTTTTGAGCAGCTTCATGCAAAACATCTTTCAACTCCAGCAACCTGTCGCACGGGTGCTCGCTAAAGTCGAGCTGCATCACCAGCTCAGTGACGAACTCTGCAAAGATAGGGTGCCGTGAAACCCACTTCGGAATACTCTGGCCGCGGCCTCGCACAGCCGGCTGGAGCGAAACAAAGATCGGCGCATGGTCGCTTGGAATCACCTCGCTGTTAATGTCCCAGAGCGTGCCAGACAGGGGGCGAATGTGAAGAAGGGCAGCAGTGGGGATGTTGTTATATATTCTGCCCAAGCGACCAAGAGAGACTAGCTTGCCATGCAGAACGTGCTTGTGCGTGTACTCACCCTGGCTTATCCCAGCGAGCCCTGGGGGTACATCGTGAAAATGCCGAGCAAGAGATTTCTGAGGGGCCTACTGCCTACCAGCGGAAGCCACAAGCCGCCCCTCCCCCAACTCCGAAAAGTTACAACCACCACCAATGATGACCGCCGCTGAGGCATTGGACCATTTCCGAGCCGCCACTTTGGAGAGCATACTTTTTTCGCGCAGGGATGGGCAACTTTGGGTCAACGTGGACCCCGAATATTTGAAGACGCCCCTGAGGCCCTGCCAGCTCGAGAGCGCCCACGCGCCCTCTGACAAGACGACGAAAGTCGGTATAGGACAAAAAGCCCAGGCAGACTGGTACGCATCATGATCACCAAACCACCAGAATTCGGCGAGTTGAAGAACGTACCCCAGGATCGGAAGGTAGGGAAGGACGGACAGAGGGAGGTAAGATCAGCTATGGTCACATGGGTTTCTTGAAGAATGACCGCGTCGAACTTCCGAACGAGTTTCCTGCGGCGGGCATGTTTAGCGAGCTACGAAGATCCCCAGATACTGCCAAAGTACGTTTGGACATTCCAGGAAACCACGGATCACCTACTAGCTGGGAGGAAGGGGAAAGGGCCCAACCCTGGTGGGGGCTCTGAGGGGGGCCCTATCATCTGTAGAGTCGAATTCAAATTCGCTCGAGCTACTACCGCTGCCACTACTACTGGATGTCGAATCCGGGGATACCGAAGCCGAGGACGAGAGGGAGGATGTCGACGGATCAATAAGCGTAGGCGCATTACCACACTCAGAATGCGCTCGAACAGGATGAATCTCGGCGGCCCCTTCTCGCAGAAGTTCACCCTGCGCTACAGTATCCACCGTATGTTGGATTCCCAAGGAAGGAACGTGTGGCACCATCATCATCCTGTCACCCTGCTGTAGTCGGTCTCGTAGGGGAAGATCCTAGTGTCCACTGGCAGCCGCAGATGTGGCTACCTCAATCAGGTCCTGGACCTTCTGTTCAGCCACTCCTAGCCTCGCGAACTCCTCCAGGAAGGGGTTGAAGTTCCAGCCGCGCTCATCCGAACCTTCGATCTTATACAACTCATATATGTCCGTGTCCGAGATCCAGCTGATGATGCCCACATACCCGTTACAGCCGAGCTTAAAGCCACGCGTGTCCGTGCCCGACTCCCTCAACAGCTTGAGCGTGCCGTCCCAGAGGTTGGAGGCCGCTCTCTGACGCGCGCGAACATCCAAAAGAAGGTCGCCACGCACTCGAACTGCATGAGCACGATTGTCACGCGGGTCGACCCACTGCAGCTGCCTATCCGCAAATATATGCTGAAACTCCCGAGCTGTTACCTCGGTGGTGAAGTCTACAGCGAAACTCTTCCCAGCACGTGAGATGACCACTGAGGCACCGTCCTTCACTGCCGTCGTCATGTGCGGCTCCATCTGCTGCTCGTAGAACTGGCGACGTTGAGTAACCGTGAGCGTTCGTGGGAATGTGCCAACCCAGCGGCGCAGCTTATTAGTCTGCGGCTGCCCCTGTTGACGACGTGGCCCAAAGTGTCCTCCTTCAGGCCAAGATGTGGCTACAGAAGACCCGCCCGACGAAGCCGCCGAAGAGGCCTGAGCCTTGAGCTGCTCCAGGTCACGCGTGATCCCCTCCATCTTCGTGTCGATCGCGACCTTCACCGCCTTTGATATGGCGCCCGACTGCGAGGCCCCCACCTGCTCGAGCCTGGCGTTGATGGCGCGGACGTTGCCACCGTGCGTCGCCAGGGCACTGCGGACGTCTCCACTTCCTGCTGCATGTTCTGCTCGAGCCGAACGATCGGGCTGTTGGTCGTGCTCGCCTGCCCCACCAAGTCCTGGAGCCAGCTCGGCGGGCGAGACGGCGCAGCACCATCTCGACTGCGCTGGGACCCCGAGCCCTGACTGTACTCCGAGCGACTGCGGTCTCGACTGGCCTCGCGCTCCGAGCTCGCACTGGGGCTGCGACGGCGCCCACCGCCGCGGCCAGGAGCAGATGGGCTCATCTCATATCTCTCAGTATCACGCGGGTAGCGCGCATCACGCACCGCACGCCGCTTGTCGCGGCCCATTGCTGGACAGACTGGGGTGATACGCGTAATGGTTCCGTGTACGTCGCAACATGCAGTGTACAGTAGAAAAAAAGCCTGCTGCAGGCGTGCACGCCTCGGGCCAACCCCTCGGCAGCAGACAAGCACGAAGCCGCAGGGCGACGGTTTCGTACTTGAGCCAAAATGGCTACGGTAGGAGGGGGAGGAGGAGGAAGAGGAGGAAGGGGAGGAGGCAGGAGGACGGCCCCGTGCGGACCCCCCCCCCGTGCGACGGCACGCGCCTTTGCCGCGGTCTCGGCCTCCGCTGCCGCGCGGGCCGCGCGCTCCAGCTGCGCGGCCGCGGAGCCTGCGGGGCCGGTGGCCGGGCAATGCCAGGACGGAGAGAGGCCGACCCCCAAACAGGAAGAAGTTGCCATTGAAAACCAAAAGAGAAACGCCCCCATTGTTTTGAAGCCCAGATCCCCGGCGATGTGGTCTCTCAAGAAGTTACGTCTATCGGGCCCCAGGTCCATCAACGAAAAGGGATTCCCCAGGGAAGCGGTCGGGGCTCCTGCGGCCGCGGGCCGCAAAACATGAATGCGGCGGATGTCACGGACCTCCTTTCGTCATGAGCATGAGAATTTGGCCTAGCGAAGAACCCAACCCTTCTAAACACATGGCGGCTACAAGCAGGACCGCAGAACACACAATGACTCAATGACCCCACGAAACGTGTGAAAAGTATGCCGAAAAAGGGCTAAGCACCATGCGGACCCTGTCAATTCGGCCTTCGGTGGAGCTCCCTATGAATCCAGGAAACGTGTGACGGGTATGCCGAAATGGGGAGGGGCTCAGCAGCTGGGGCATTCGGTGGCGCTCCATATGGGGCCACGAAGCGTGTGAGGGATGCGCCGACATGGGGTGAGACATAACGCGGACCCTGCCATTGGGGCCTTCGGTGGAGCCCCTAAACGTGTGAAGGGTGTGCCGACATGAAGCGAGTCACGAATCACCGCGCGGACCCTGCCACTGGGGCATTCGATGGAGATCCTCGTGTGGCCATGAAGCGCGTGAGGGGTGAGCCGAAAAAGGGCAGACCACCATGCCGCATGGTGGCCCTGCCAATGATGCATGATGCGGACGCTACCAATTAGGCCTTCTGGGGCCACAAAGCGTGTGAGGAATGCGCCGGAATGGGTCGGGATGGCGCGATACGACCGCAGCCACTGGGGCCGTCGATGGAGCTCCCTATGGGGCCACGAAACGTGTGAGGTGCCAGACCGGACCCGAGTCACCATGCGGACCCTGCCACGGAGGCCTTCGGTGGAGCACCCTACGGGGCCACGAACCGCGTGGGTGGTGTGCCAGAAGGGGCCCGAATCACCATGCGGACACGGCAACTGGGGCCTTCGGTGGAGCCCCCCATAAGGGGCCACGAAACGTGAAGGAGGTGTGCCGAAACTGTGGTGAAGATGAATCTCTGGATTACTCCGCACCGTCCGCCTTGTGGCCGGGGTCCTCGCTCTGTACTCTGGGCCCTTCCAAAGGAGCCCCTGTTTCGCAGAAGGGCCCAGAGGCTTCTCTGAGGCGCCTTCTCCAACTCTGGGCCCTTCCAAAGGAGCCCCTGTGTCGCAGAAGGCTGCCCCCCTCGCGCCACCCCCTCGGACAGGGGCCACGACAGGCGGGGATGGGCTCCGGGGGGAACGCATCGACCCCCCCTCGCCCACTGATCGCCGATCAGGGGGCCGATGGCCCACCCCGCCCGGAACCTGGGGCCCTGCCAATCATCGGAGGGGGCCCCGTCGCCGATCCGTCCGCGATATGCATCGCCGATGGCAGCTCGGCGCGGCCTGCCGCGCCGATGACTGGGCGGGGCGGCGCGGACCCCGCGCGGCCGGGAGGGGCTCCGCCCGGGGGCGGCGCAGAGGCGCGGCTCCCGCCGCGAGCGCAGGCGGGCCTCTCGGAGCAGGGGCGTCGGGGCGCCGCTCCGCGCGCGCGGCGGGGCGATCGGGGCGCCGCACCGCCGCCGCGGCGGCCGC